CTGAGCAATATCAAAGCAACCAGCTCGAGGACGAGAGTCCATAGGAAGCATAGGGCAGAAGCCAAGCATGGGAGAGGGCCCAGACAAGATCAGCAGAGTCACCAAGCCAGTCCACAGCTGCACACGGCCATATGGCTGAGCCATGTAACCAGCTGGCACATGGCCATGAGAGAAGTAGTACACCCCTGTATCAGAGTGCCCCCTTGCCATGGTCCCACTTTCTGCAGTTTCGGTTACTCATGGTCAACTGCAGTCTGGAAATATTAAATGGAAAATTCTAGTAATAAACAATTCATGAGCTTTAAATTGGATGCTGTTTTGAGTAGAGTGATGAAATCTTGAGCTGTCCCACGTCTTTTTTTTTTTCATTTTTCTTTTATCATTCATATGTGCATACAAGGCTTGGTTCATTTCTGCCCCCTACCCCCACCCCCTCCCTTACCACCCACTCCGCCCCCTCCCTCTCCCCCCGCCTCAATATGTCCCACGTCTTATAGCACTTGACAAACCAACTTTGAGAATACAAAAATCTATGTTTTAGTTGTAAGGTGCCTAGCATCTCTGTGTATTTCCCTGTTCCTCCCAGGGCAATGAACAACATCAAAACAACCAGCTTGATAAGGAGGAACCCCCTTAGCCATGATCACTGTAGGTATCATGCCATGCTGCCTGCACACAGAGTGATCAAGTTGCTTCATTTTATTCTACTTCATTTTATTCTGGACTTGGCTCATCTTTACCCCTTTACTGGGAGCCATTTGTTTGTCACTGCTGACTACCAAATTGACTTTTTAAACTACCACCTGTCTCTGAGATTGATGCTGTCCAGCCAGGACCTGAATCATCCCTTTGTCCAGTGTATCCATGCTGTATACACTACCCGCCATCACTTAGTTGCAGTCTGGTTTTCAGATCAACTGTCATGCATTGCAGTGCTTGTGCTCATGCAACCCTTATTTTACTCAATACTGTCACCAAAGTGCAAGAGTAGTGATGATGGCAATTCAGATGTGCCAAAAAGAAGCCATAAACTGCTTCCTTTAAATGAAAACGTGAAAGTACAAAAAGATACTGAGAGAAACCACATAACATAACATAATATACTGTTACCATTGTTCTGGTTTTTTGTTAATCTCTTACTCGTCAAATTTATAAATAGAACTTTATTCTAGGTATGGATGTATGGGAGAAAAACAGGCATTCAGTACTACCTGCAGTTTCAGGCATCCCCTGGGGGTGTCTTAGAATGAATCCTCTGTGGATAAGGGGAGATTACTGTAGTTTTAAGCCACTGAGTTTTAGGGTGCTTTGGTAGTGAGCCATAGCTAATGGATACATTTGGTCTGCTACAGATTAGAAAGTGATGTTGGCTAGAGAGGAGGCAAGGCTACCAGAGCAAGTGTGTTGACAGGAACCAGAAAGTCACCCCGCTAGTATCTTTTTAGGGACTCGAAGAACATGATGGTCTGGGGCCATGTAAAGAGAGGAAGGCAGATGTGGCACATCCAAAGATTCTGATCACTGAAGAAATTTCTAGCCAAACATAAGAACACTCACTTGACTCATCCAGAAGGATTAACTGAAGTGCAGCACCCTTTCTTTAGGAAGGCAAGTGCATGCACCCTATATAAGAAAGATTTTTAATTTAAAATAGTTAAAATTAAAAAAAAGCTTAAGGTGTTAAGTGGTTATCTGAAAAGCTCATTTGTGTATGCAGGGACTATTCTTTCTGAAGCAAGCATAGGGCAAAATCTTAGACAGGTTTCTGCACTGCTTCCAGGTACAAAAAACAATTTAGCAAATGTAGTTTGGTTGCTATGATGCTGGCATTTTGGGAGCACTTAAACACTGATGGGGACAATGGACAGAAATCTGAAACTGGGATAACCTGAGAAGGCCTGTGCAGAAGAACCAGTTTCCTCATGTGTGTTTTGCCCTTTCCAAAGGTGCCACTTTAGCCATGGCAGAGAGGCATCACAGATTATGGGCTGCAGTGCCAGCCTGCAGGCCTCCATGGGAAAGAGATGGAAAAGAGAGAGAGAGTGGGCAGGAAGAACTGCATTAGTATGAAACTGCCATCTTCAGGGCCAGCCTCCCTCTTGGCCTCCCCTGTGTTCCTCTGAGCACCATACACCAGTTCATTTCATCTCAAGTACATAAATTCAGCTTCTTTCCAAAGTGCCATCAATCACCACCTGGGAAAATAATCATTCCTGGTCACTGTGTGGGTACTGAATGTTCAGGACTGGAGCAAGCTCTCGAGATGCACTAATCCACTGACCTTGGAAGTTAAGCACTGCTACTGTATTCCCCTTCAACAGGCAGAAGCAGAGGCTCAGAGAGATGAAGCAGCTTGTTTCATCTGCTAGAAAACAGGTGGCTGAAGTAGCATTCAAACCTTCGTAGCCGGTTCCAGACCCATCCTCTAAACCCTCTGTTCTGCCCCGTTAGTTTGTAAAGCTTCCTATTCTCTCCCTGCTGGGTCTGGCTGTGCCCGACAACTCCACCCCAAAACTCTAGCTTTTTCAGAACTGGACCATCACAATCATCAGGCCCTGCCCCTCTGTCCCCTCCCCCTCATCAACTCTCAGGGAACTAAAAGTGAAAAAAAGCCATGAGGACCTTTTCTCAGGGGGATGGGATCCTGACTAATTACCACTTATCACCTGGAGCAGGCCCGGAAACCTGATCTGGGACAGGACTGTGTGGCCTACCTGACAGATCTCAGCTTTCACCTCTGGCTGGCTGCCAGTGCCTACTCCCATAGCAGAGCCACGGACAGACCTGGCTCCTGCTGCTTATCTCCTGCTAACACCTGGCTCCTCTCCCTCCTCCTCCCTATCTGGGAGTTTCCTTGTGGTTCTAATGAAAAGCCTTCGTGTGGTCACATTGAGAAGTTGCCAGTTACTGCTGCCGGGAATAAAAATCCAGCCTCTGCTTGGGTCAGACTCATGGAAGCTTCTAGCTGGGGAATAAGGAGCTGGGCTGGGTAATCCCTCAAGTGTGAGCACCACTCAGCATAATTAGATGCACCAGGTGGGGGTCCACCCAGACAGCAGATAAACAAATAATAGGATGTGCCAGCCCCCATCCCTGCCCCCACCTGGGCCACCTTGGCCTCAGCACACCTGGGAGGTGCCTGCCTACCGCATGCCATCTCAGGCTCTGCCCCTACACTCCCAAGATAAGACAAAATTGATGCGTCGTGGGATGTGAGCTCTCCATTCGGTCTGAGGATCTGAATAGCTGCCAACGGTGTGCCTTCACCAGCACTTCAGAGACCAGACCAGTGCACGTAAAGATTATCCAGAATACAGCTTCCCGGCTCTACCCTGGGACCACTGCCTCCAGTCCTGAGGCTTGAGGCCTGGGAACTCCCATTGTTTAATGCCCTTATTTACCCAGATCATGGGGCTCAGCTCACTGGACCTGGGTACCTAGAACCCAGGAGACAGCACCGCTGTGTGCACTCCCTCCCATGACTGTAACTCTCAGGCACCTTCTAGGGCCAGGCATTTCCCTGGATTGCACACCAAACCTATATCATGCCATGGAAGCCATTTCTGTCCCTGCTTCACACAGCAAGAGGCTTATGGTTCCTCATGGACTATGACATCAGGAGAATTCAGTTATTTTACTCTCAACCATGCTTTTGGAGCAAAGGCAACTACAGTGAGTCCTAAAAAGCACTTTCAGAACCTGGTGCTCTGGTCAGAAACCCCACATGTTAACAACGGGGTAAAAGGGGACTCCAGGACAGCTGGTACCTAAGTGTAAGGAGAGCTCCAGCCATCAGCTCTTTCAGAACCATTAGCATTAGGAAAGGCAGGAACACCAGTTGATTCTTAATGGGGGTGATTTTTCTGCTCCTCTCTGGATCATTTTTGGCTGTCAGAGTAGTGGAGGCAGAGACCACTGGCCCCTGAAGCACAAGGGGTCAGAGATGCTGCTAAATATCCTACCATGCCCAGGACACTATATAAACACAGTGAGCAATGATCTGGTCCAGAGTGTCAATAATGCCAATACTCAAGAATACACACCAAGATAAAATAGCTACAAGATGCCATCAAAAATAAGAGCCCAAAGCCACAAATGTCCTTGGCCCCCTAAGGTAGAGTGCTAATTCAGGCTTTGGATCTGAGGATGGGGTTTTCTTAGTTTCCATTTGACATTATTTACCCAAAAAGATGTGGGCCAGCAGAGAAAGGCTTTCAGCTGGATCATACGAACTGAGCTTAAAGAACTCAGTTTAGCCCTTGATTCTTTCAGAGATTGGTCATCGCTTTAACAGCAGTGTATGGATGGACAAATGTTCAGGTCTGGCTGTCTGATTAGATGTATTCCCCAGGTGGTCTCTTCTATTCACTGTAGAGTTCAAAAACAGACCATTTAGTTGCTAAAATTGAATCTCCCACGAGTTAATGGAGTGGAACCAGCTACTGGTGCTGACTGTTGCTCAAATGCTTCTGCGGAATCCAGGCTAGAGGGGCCAAATATTTTCTTTACAGTTGATCCGATGCATTTCAGTGCTTGATGATGTGTGGTGGCAGAACACCTTCTGAGGATCCAGTCCCCTTCTGTTTAGGTGGCCAGCACCTCAAAGGGCGTGCATAATTTATTTCCCCTATCAAGTGAATCTGAGCATTTTATAGCTGAAAAGGGAGTGATTCCACTTGAATTAATCAGGGAGCTGAAGGCAAAGGTGCATGATGGAGTTTTTAAGGACATTCTTCCCTGATTGACAAGGTCTTGTGGCCACCCTCTGAGAAGTTTTAGCAGCAGAACAGTTCTTGACATCACTCAGGGGAGGCCTGTTCTATTAGCTACACTCACAAAAGCCTCTGTGTGTGTGTGTGTGTGTGTGTGTTTTACACATCAGATTAAGGAGTAACTCCAGTGTAGCAATTGAACACCTATAGTTGTTAGCTATAGCCCTGTAACATTTCTCCCTTGTAAAGTAAGAAGCAAGCAATAAAATTATCCAGGGGGAAACCTACCTTTCAGCCACTTTGGACATTTTCAAACAGTGTCTGTCAATCTGTGCATTCAAAAATGTTATCTGGGGAAAGATAGAACAGGGATATTGAGTCCCAAACAGACTTCTTCTTTCCCCTTCATCTCATGAACCCAACTCCTATATTTCCACCAAGATCCAAACAGTCCTCGGCAAGACTTAATACTACCCTCCTGCTTTGTGCTCCAGCAACCAATTTGCCCTTTTGGAAATGTCTACCACACTTAAGATTCATACTCTACAATTTAGCCTCTGTCATGTGTTTGCCGATACTGTTACCATTTAAGTCTTGATTCCCCGTAATTATTCCCCAAACTTAAAGGCAGCACATAATCCTACAGAGCTTAGCAACAGGATGGACAGGTAACACACGCACCAAAAACACTTGTGTGGAGCAAGCCTGTGTTTCAAGTGGACATCATATCCATGTGCTTGGTATGTTCGACTAGGATCATCAACAGCTATTTCTCTTGTTTCTCTTCCCCACCTAGTAATAAATTTGCTGAGAGAAGGAACCTAGTTTACACCTTTGCCAAACTCATGCCAGCAGCCAGTAATGCATAACGTAAAGAGTAAGTCCTCAAGTTGCCGAATATACTGGTAAATGCGAGAAGAAATAATGGTATCAGCTGTTCTCCGTTGACCATGAAGGAAAGTAATATTCAACCAGATAATGCTGAAGTGGTATTGCAGCATTCTTTATTCTTAAGCTTCCCTTTTGAATCACACCCATCGAGTTGGTAGTCCCAAGCCTGTGTACTCTGGGTGTGCATTACAATTTTAAGGACCATGGGACATGATCCCCTCCCTCTCTAGCTCCCCAGCAGTCAGCCTGGCATCTGGATAACTCATTTACACCCTTCTTTAATAACTGTTGGAGGGACACAGTAGAGAATACTTCCTTTCAGCTTTCCAGGGTGGTTCATACCCAGCACTCATAGGCTCACGTCGCCCACAGCTGGATTCCACTGCGGTTTCCAGAAAATCAAAGTTCACTCAGCCTTCAGAGGTGAACATAAAAATGGTTTTAAATAGGCCATGTCTGCCCATGGGAGTGCAGGAATCAGTTCATTCACCTGTTTCCGGATGTCGTCTTTTGTTGTTCTCCTGATTGGCTGGCTGGGTATGTGCACAGGGCTCTGGGATTCCTCAGTCACGCCATACACTGACTAGAACAAGAAGGAAGAAAATGCATCATGTCTCCTCAGAGTTGAGGGGCAGTTCAGATGTCAGCTAGTCTAACCCCTTATCTGATTCTTCCAATGCCTTTTATGACATCCAGACAAAGGTGACTGGTCTCTGCTTGAATTACTCCAATGGTGGGAACTCTGCCTCTTAAGGCATTTCATTCCACCTTTGGGTTACAACTGTTAGAAAAATCCTTCCTTTTATTGCATTGAAATAGTCTCCTTGTATATATCACTGTTTTTCCTAATATGGTCCAGAGCCCATCTGCAAAGAACCATCTGGGGTACTTGGTAAAGATGCACTTGTGAGCCCCACCTCAGACCTATTGAATCAGAGGGTTGGTGGGTGGGTTTGGGACTCTGCACTTTAATCAAATACCACAGGCAATTCTGAGGCAAAAGAGAGTTCAAGAATGACTGTTGACATGATAAAAGCGAGTGCACACAAGGAAGGTGTGAGGACAGGTAAGACACCTAAAAAACTAGCTAGCATTTGTTGCCCTCAACGCAGAGAAACTAAAGCAGATACCTTAAAGCAACTGAGGCCAATAGGAAAAGGGGAACAGGTACTAGAGAAAAGGTGAGATCAAAAAGAATTAACCTAGAAGGTAACACCCACGCACAGGAAATTAATGTGAGTCAACTCCCTGTATAGCTATCCTTATCTCAACCAGTAAAAACCCTTGTTCCTTCCTATTATTGCTTATACTCTCTCTACAACAAAATTAGAAATAAGGACAAAATAGTTTCTGTTGGGTATTGAGGGGGTGGAGGGAGAGGGAGGGGGCGGAGTGGGTGTTAAGGGAGGGGGTGGGGGCAGGGGGGAAAAATGACCCAAGCCTTGTATGCACATATAAATAATAAAAGAAAAAAAAAAACAAAAAAAATCATTAGTGCCAATACCCCCCCCCCAAAAAAAAAAAAAAGAATGTAAAAGATCCCTTTTACACATCCTGCTGGTCAGCAGGGGACAAGTCCATCTGGTACAAATTTGAGATGGCAGTGTTCAGGTTTGCCCCCATTTAAGTTAAACAGCTTTCCTTGTTAAATTTCTTTATCTGTCCACGCTTGGTTCCCCTTTAAGTGGTTCTTAGTGTTATGAACAGACTAAAGACAATCTTTGCTTTGGGAAAGAAACCAAAGCCCTCAAGGACATGTTGTTTGTATTTGAAATCTGCGAAATCAAGACAGGTAGAGATGAGACGCATGCTGCTCTATGTAATTCTGGAATATTAGAATTAGGGGCCCTTAAAAATTAAATAAGGATATTTAAGACAAATAAATATAATATACCGGGCATTATCTCAGTGAAGAGCAGATTCAAGAAGTGTGCATACACACACACACACACACACACACACACATGCCAGGTCTCTGTTTCTCTGTCTCCCTTTCAGAACTTGTGGAAATGACTTCATGTCATAGGTTTTGGCCTAAATACAGGTTCACTAAAATATTGTATAAAATTACCTTCAGGCTATTGTATACAATTACTTTTAGGCTATGAGTATAAGGTACTTAGAACACATAAATGAATTTTGTGTTCAGACTTGAGTCCCATTCTAAGATACCTCAATGTGCTTATGAAAATATTCTGAAATCTGAAACATTTCTGATCCCTAGCATTTTGGATAAAGGATTTTCAAATTAATATTTGGAGTACATCCTTGATGTGATGGTAGAGTGGATGTATGGATAGGAATGAAGTTTGAGTGTGGCACCCATGGGTGTGCTATGGCCACTGCCCTTTTCAGTAAAGTGAAACACAATTGATCATGGGGTGATTTATATTTGGACAAAATGGTGATGTAAGTGTGGATAATCTAGCTCTACTAAAAATCTCTGTCACTCGTGGGCTTTTCCATTTTGTTCCTTTAGTTTCCTTTCTTCTCTACCACCTCCCCAGAGCCAATGGCTATTTACCCTTCATCTCATTGACCCTGCTTTCATGAAGCTTCTGGGAAGCCCCAGTCTGGCTTAAATATTCTTCTAGAACCATCCATTCTTCCTCTGCTACACTTGTGGCCCTGTGGCCTGTGGCTGGTTTCATTCCCTGCCAGTCTGTGGGCTCCATGAGGACCTGCCACTGAATCCCAGCAGCAAGTACAATGCCTAGCTCACACTCAAAGGTTTCTAGAATTTGTCAATAAAATGATTTCCAAAGATACAATAAGGAAGAATTCAAATAGCAAATTATATTCTGAAGAGTACCAGAAATGGAAGAGCTATTTACATTAAGAATTTTTTGTTCAGCTAAACTAGCGAACCTTTTTAACCTTTTGTGGATTCTTCAAACGTCGACATTTTCTAATATCCATTTCCGTTGTGTTCACACAGCCTGGCTGAGAGCAAAAGAAAATCATATAAATTACAAAGTGAAAATTACTCTTTTAATTGAGTCCAAGGAACACTAATACAACCAACCCTCTTCTTTCCCATTATAGAGAATGCATGATGCTTTTCATTTTCCACCATAGAGTAGCAATATTTGTTCCACCATAGAGTTCCCATACGAAATAGGAAAGCTGATACTATAATAAGGATGGTATGTAGATGGTATAGTGTTCAGTTTCTAAGAACAAACTTGTTATTATTCAAGTGGCAAGATTTCTTTGGGCATGGCTTCTGCTATTTCACATACCTAACTATTTGAAAAGACTCCAATATCAGGAAGCTATGTTTTTGCTTTTGTTTTTGATCCGTTTTGAGGAAGTTTGAAATCGTATTAGTTCACGTTTATTTCCATTACATGAAGGAAATGAAAGATTTGTTTTAATGATACAAAATTAGAAATCCAGTTAAACCTTATTGTTTATGATTTCATATTTGTAAATTCACCTACTTGCTAAAATTTACTTATAACCTCCAACTCAATATTCGCAGAGATTTAAGGATCATTTGTGGACAGCACAGCACACCAGCATGAGTTGCTTCACATGTATGTGCCCAGCTGCAGTTGAACGAGGCAGGACTCTGCCTTCTTATTTCATGCTATAAACCAGTCTATTTAGGGTTATTTAATGCAAAGCTTTCTGTATTTTTGTGCTTCTTGTTGGTGATTATTTTCTGTTTAAATGGTCTTCAGGCAGAGTGCTAAAGAGCTGTCCACTGTTCCCAAGCTCAATGAGGCTATGATGTACCACAGAGAGCATGTGTGTTAGATAAGCTTCATTGTGGCATGACTTATAGTGCTGTTGACTGTAAGCTCATTGTCAATGAATAAACACTATATGTTATTAAATAAGCTATCATTATATGGAAACACATATTAGACAAAGTTATACATTGATCAGTTGACAAAAATGCTGTGACCAGAGGGTCACAAGAACCAAGCTCTGTATTTCCTTGAGGAACAATGCTTCTGTATTCACTAATTCAGTGTTCTCAAATACTTTATAGAACATAACCATGGTGAATAATAACTAACAAGCTATGAAAGAGAGTGTTTTAAAGTTTAGAGTTGGATGACAGTGGAAATGAAAATTGTTGACTTAGGGTCGATAGTTTCTTGGTAGAATTCCTATCCCCCCCATTTCCAATTCCATATTTTCGTGGGTGGAGAATTTTTTAAAGATAGAGCTGGCATATATTCCAGAAAATTTACTGAGATTATATAAGTGAATGGCAAAACCAGTCTCTTGAAGCTTAGCAATTATCTTAAGAATGAGACACTTGGTCACTAAAGACAGTCTTTGCTTGAAAAGAAGAAAGAAGAAAATTTGAAAAAAGATACACCCTAAAGAACCAAGCAGAGCTTCCTCACCACTGGCCTGTGGACATCCCAAAAGGCCCGTTCTTGACTATCCAATATTTTCCTTTCTGTCTTGTCCTTTTTTCGATCAATCCTGAAAGAGTAAAGAGAGGAAAAGAGATACTTTTGTTTGTTTCTCCCTCTGGCCCTGCCTCAGCTCTCTGCTCCTGTTCCTAGGAGCTAAGCTGTACCCAAGACTGTTGCCCCCTGCATGGTCCCTTGTCTCTGCAGGTGTACAGCTCCCTCCGGGAAATCTCAGGAACTCCACACAAAAATTTTCACAAGATTACAAACTGCCATACTTACACCACCAACATGGTGGGTCTTGGGGAAGAACAAGAACAAAGCTGTCCATGTGAAGTATTGAGGTATCAATTATTAAGAGCCGAATTATCTATTGACACAACCCCACTTCAAAGTGAATATTGCAAAACAAATTTATAAGAAGGAACATAACCACTGGCTTACCAGTGTTCCATCTCAAATTTGAAAGTTTGCTTTAGATTTAGGGCAGTAGAAATGTCTTCAAAATGCTGCAATTATGTGTTTTGAAAGTCATTTAAACCATCTGGCTTTCTAAAGGCAAAGTAATGGCCCTAGCATGAGATAAGACCCAGAAGGCAAACATCACAGGCCTCAGTTGGGGAAGGCATAAATTTCAGAAGGAAATTACAGGTGACAAAGACAGATTCTTTATGTTCTCATCAGCAACTCAGATAATACACTCCCTCCCACCCCCCAAGCATTACTTCATATTATCTAAGTAAAAAGCAACTTGAATTAATTGCCGTGTAACTTCTGGTTCTCAACTCTCTTGGGAGCACTTTGGTTTACTGGACTGAAATAAACCCATAATCACCCTGTGATTTTAGTGATAATTACTGTGTACTTAAATGGCCCACAATTCTAATGTAATCACAAAGTTAATCAAAAAAGCTAATGGAGAAATACCATATATGCAGGAAGTGACAATCTTCCCTCCCTTTATAACATGTGGTGCTGTTTGATTCCAGAAGAACAAATTTGTGTTCCTCTTTGCTTCTCTGTGGCTTCTGAGTCCACAGGCACAATTCTCCTTCAATCCATCTAAATCCTGTCTCCTCCCCAGCTTCTGCTTCCCCAGATGCCTCCTGTGCAGCTCAGCACCCAATGCCTGGCACCCATCTCCACTTGGGGCAGCTGGGAACACTGGGGTGACCAGCAGGTGGCTGGCTTCAAGGGGAAAGGCAGAGACTGTAGACAGAAGGTGACAGCAATGACAGCATGCAGACCATTGAACTAGATGATCCCGTGCCATTTCAACCATGACCACACCTGTGATTGATGTCCATCCACAACAGTGTCACCCACAAAAGGTGAAAGGGCTCCTCCAAAGCCCCACAGGGCTGCTCACATGTAAGTGGTACCCAGAAAACTGTACTGGCATTCTCCCTGCTCAGCTTCTGTGTTCTACCCTTCTGTCCCACATTTCCTATTAACACTGGCTAAGCCAGACACCATTATTAGAAAGAACAAGAGATTTCCTGACCACAGTGATTTCATGTCTCAGAATTCAATGGATCTGGTTGATGACCATGTTAGAGTGGAAGGAATTTCTACTATGCATCTGGGAAGGAAAATGGGTGGAAAATTCCTTCTAACTTTTTCCTGTCATCTCCTATCCTTTGGGGAAGAAGAATGACTTAACTTATTGGACTTGAAAGGAGAAACTGAGAAATCTCAGCTAGTCCTTCTGTGTTCCCATGTGTGGATATCTCAGCATATCTGTTCTCTGCATGTAGTAGGCTTACAGGGGTCAGCTGTGCCTGGGTGGGCCTACAGATACCCACGTCTACCCAGGAAGGAAGAGTGAATCTATGACCACAGATCCAAAGCTGAGTGCTTCCATCTAGCTTTTAATTAACAGACTCCAAATGTCTAACTTCTATGCCTTATTTTCCAATTGGTTCTAAACTCCTCCCATGAAGGGAAGAAGGAGGAGGAGTTACTTGTTCTTCCTAATACTCTAATACCTTTACCTATGAAGACAAACTCTCCAGCCCCAATGTTTTCCAAATAAAGAAGAATAATTGGAAATCTGGGCAGGATCCTCCTTGTCTGCTGAAGCATGTGCTTTTGAAATTTTAGAGTCACATTGGTTCCAAAGATGAAACTGGTCCATCCTGACCCTTCTTTCTATTCAGTTGTCCTCCTGAGAGGTGAGAGAAACTAACCTAGCTGGAAACCTCACTTTGCAATCCCTCCCTCACACCATCTCCAAATTCCAGAGAGTCATTTTCTCTCTGAAAGCATTTCTGTTAAGTTCACCTACTTTACTTGTGCTTCTGCTTGCATAAAGATGAATTCCCATTTCCTTGCAAAGGCTCTCTGGAGTCTTGCTAAGTTTTCCTATTGAGAAATGGAAATTGACAAGAAGTCATTAATCATCATAAGTTAACACATCAATATCTATGCTTATTACAAGGCAACCATCCATTTTGGTTATTCTCAACAAAATAGCAAGGCTCTACATTAAATCCCCTGCATGTGAACCCAATTTGAATTTGCACCAGACCCTGTTGTCCAGAGGTGATTAATGTTCGCTTACGCATCCATTAGGTCTGAAGTCTCTGCTTCACCTGATTCTCTCTTCTTGTGTGTTTTATAAAACACAACTCACATAGCACTTGTCATGAAAGCTACTGAAAATGATGGTTTGTACTATTGGGGGAAGGAATGACAGGGGCTTTGCAACCTGTTGGTTTACAAAGCCAAGGATGGATCACTCAAGGACACATCCAGCAGGGAACTGAGAAAGTCACAGGAAAAGAAAGCCAAGAGAACATGGCAGAGAAAGTGGAAGGCAGAGAGTTAGGACTTAAAAGTAGACCAAAGGGAGTGTCTATGTTTGGTATAGCCAGAAAAGGAAAAACCAAAAACAGAAAGACAGAAAAACTATTCAAGATTGCTTTCAGGGCAAAAGTGAAAAAATATTTTCTCTAAATCTGCAGACTTACCTTCCTGAACATTAGGACAATGAGGAGGGGAGTTTGACAGGCCCCCTAATGGTCCTCCTAATTCTGATTAATGCATGGCTGGATCCCACATTATGCTATGTATTTTCATAGAGCTCAGGCCACCACTAATTGATTACCCTCATTAGAGGATTATTAATATAAAAGGAGCTTCAACTGAAGAGCACTGCACATGAACTCACAGCTAATACCAAGGCTTTTCGTGAAAGTATTTCTGAAACCTGTCCCTGTGACTCTTGCACTGTTGATAGGAAGCCAGGCTGATGATGGCTAAGTGTCAATCAACTGGGGAGAGTAATATGAACTACAACACCGTCACACCACAAAGTACTAGGCAGCCATTAAAAATGATAATAAAGATTAATATTACAGACATAGAAAGATTCCTCAGACACTACAGTATTTGTTTGGGGAAAAAAGTAGCCAACACAATAATATTGCTGATATGGCCCTATTTTTTTGTAAAGGAAAATAAATGTAGGTATAGAAAAAAAAAACTTATGGGAGGGGAGAATGACAGGTTTTTCTCTCTCCTTTCTTTTTTGTTTGAATTTTTGTTTTCTACAAAGAGAATACATAACCAGAAAAATGTAATAAAATTAGTGGATTTTGGAAACAAGATGCTTTTTAAGTTTCTAACCATTTTATGCAGAACTTTAACCTGAAAAAAATGGTTTTTTTTTTTTCTTCGGTGCTACGGATCAAACTCATGACCTTGCACCTGCTGGCAAGAGCTCTCCACTGAGCTAGAGCCTAGCTCTATAGGAACATTTTATTATTTGAAGAAACATCGTAATACCATATTCTTTATAAAATACCAGGACAGAACCATTATAGGGCAAGAGAAGAGAACGTCCAATGAAATACGTCATGAGTTGAGCTGCCTTATTTCTGTATAGGATCTTTTCTAACACATAGAAAATGTGAGCAAGGGAGCAGACGGAGGGGCCACAATTCCTCTGCAGCCTGGCTCTTTCTTCAAGGCTGTGATAGGAAGTAAAGCAGTGGTGGCCGAGCTCTTTGCCCTGGGCACACAGAACAGTAGTCTTTGGAAAGAGGGGTGATGAGACTATGGAGGTGTCAGGGCAGACAGGGATAGGACTGAGCTCCCAGGATGCTCAGAGAACAGACCCACCACTGCAAGTTTGGTTGGGAGGATCTTACTCAATATTCCATATTATCTGATGTGTAGATTTAGGCCAGGTCCCAAGTTTCTGGTCAATCTGCATTGCATCCTCCTTTACTCTTCCCCACTTCACAGGTCTGAGGTGCCAGTGGGATCAAAGATGGTGGAGAGCAGGCTCTTACACATTTGCCTTTGGGCAATGGAGAAGGGAGCCATGGTCTGGTTGGCTTGGGCACAGGGACCTGACAGAGGCAAGGCCTGACAGTGTGGGGCCTCATGCTTCTTTTGGAAAACTGAGGCAGGAAAGCGGGAGGGGCATTTGGAGGTGGGTGGGTCTGAGATGCTGTTAATTCTGGACTTTCCAAGGAAGGATTGTTCACCACCCATAACCGTTGCCTCTTGACCCATAGCTGCTGGCTCTCAGTTATTTCATGGCTCAGTGACACTGCCACCAGGCGGTGTGTAGGGAGAAGGAAGTGACCCATATAAAGTTCAGTTTTGAGGAAAGATTCTACAACCAAAAGTTAAGCATTTGTTCTAAATTATCTGTGACTCTTTGCATTCTCTGTGTTTTGGTTCTGGGCTCTTTCAGATGGGACTGGTTATGAATATGCTGGTGAACCTCAAATTCTTGAAGAAACTACATCTTATGAAGGAAGATGGAGGAAGGTAAGAAACTGGGGACAGGACATATCTCTTGTGACATACATTTTATTTTCTGGATTGAATTTTGTTCTGGAATTCAGTCTCTACCCCCAAGCATAGAGTGGGATTACGATGCAAGTTTTAATTTACAAAGTCATTATGCAGCAAATTTGACATATTTCCTTTCAGGAGATATCTGTGAATTTTAACACAGGTATAGATTCCTACAACCACCACCACGACAAGATGGACACAGAATAGTTGCATCATTTCCAACAGTCCCTTGGGCTCTCTCTTTATATTCACACTTTACCACGTTCATAACCACAGCCATTGATCTGCTTTCCCTTGGGATAGCTTTGTCTTTAAGAGAACATCATATCGATGGAATGGCTGATTTAAGAGTGGATTCTTCCACTCAGCATGTTGTCTTTGATCCTCAAATGGTTGTATATATCAACAATTTATTCCTTTTTATAGTAGCATAGTATTCCATTGTATGGATGTACCATGGTTAGTTTTTATCATGGTACTAACTGTTAAAAAGTGTTTCTGGGTTGTTTTTAGCTTTCAGTTTACAAATATAAAGCTAGTGTGGATATGGGCCTTAGGTATTTTTGTGTGCAAATAAATTCTGATTTCTCTGCTTGGTTACATATAATGAGAATATGTTTAATTTAATAAGAAATTGCCTACCTGTTTTCCAGAGTGACTGTACCATTTTGCCTTCCCATCAGCAATCAAGGGATTTCTGGTTGTTCCACCTGCTCATATCACTTGAGCTTGTCAGTACTTTTTATTTTAGCTATCTTAATAGGTGTGTAGTGTTGTCTCACGATGGATTATCACCATGTTTTCCAAATAGCTAATACTGTCGAACATTTTTTCATGTATTTTTTTTGTTGTTACCTTTTCGTCTTCTTTGGTGAAATATCTATTTAAGTTCTTTGCTTTTTGTTTTTGTTTTGTGACAGGGTCTCACCATGTAGCCCAGGCTAGCCTTGAACTCTTAATTCTTCTGCTTTAGTCTGGGATTATAGATGTGTGCCAGCATGCCTAGCTTCCTTTGTCAATTTTTATGTTGAGTTGTTTATTTCTTATTGTTGAGTTTTGAGAGTTATTTATATAAAGATGCAGTTGCATTATCATGGTGATAAGGAGAGAAGCAGAAGAGACTTCCCCTCTACTGTCTGAAAGGGGAATGAAGCTTAAACAGAGCTGCAGTTATGACATTGCTCACCTCCCAGACCAAGCCCGGGAAGCAATCATACTTACTGCTTCATAATCCGCCAGTTCCAGCCTTGCTTTATTCTGCATGGTCCTCTTACAGAGATAGATGGCTAAGGGGAGAAGAGGAATTGCAACAGGATAAAATCAACAGGGCAGTGGAATCATAAACCCACCCATCCAGCCCTCATCTATTCATACAGCCAGCCCCTACATGCGCTCAGCTCTGTCTGGGGAGGAATACATTTTCTAAGTGGAAGCCATGATACCTGACCTCTAAAAATCTTTCTGTGGGCCAGGATCAGATGAGATTCTGCTAATCCTGACAACTCCTCTTCATCCTCCTCTGCTACATGCCAAACATCCTCCATTCAGAGTGACCTTTCCCAAGAGTGATAAAGTTACCCCTGTGCCCAAAAGCCCTGCATTGAATTCTCAGTGACTTCACAAGAAAGATTGGGATCCTTAGGGTAGAAAATGTGGTTCTTTTTTTCCTTTTTGGTGGTGTGGTCCTGGAGTTTGAACTCAAACTCTTGCACTTACCAGGCAGGTACTCTACCACTTGAGCCACAGCTCCAGCCCAAAATGTGGTTCTTTATGCCCCTATCTCTGTTCATCTTACCACCCGTTTTCCCCCCTCACGTAGACATTATGAGGCCAGCAAACTTTCAGCTTACTCTTTTGCATATGTGGAAGGTCTCTCTCTTCTGTCTGTCTAGAGACATCACACTGATCTCTAAAGACCCAGCCCAGTGTTCCAGATTGCCTCTACGCCGCCTGGACCACATAGCCTAGTTCCCTGCACTGAGCGCCTGTGTTTACTAGACTGCTGCCTGCTTGAGACTCTTAAGGGACAGAGATTGTGTCTTACATAGTTTTAACCTGTCCCTGGAACCCGGGCCTGTCCTGTCAGTTGGAGTGAAAGAGCAATGCAAAGGGAGGATAATGTAGGGCTCTTAGCCCTCAGTAGCCAGGACACCCTTCCTCACACATGACTTCTCCACCCCCTCTCTATCTCTGCTTCTTCAGTGTCTTTCCCAGGGAAGTCAGGAGGTGAATGGTAAGAATGAATAACAGAACGACCAAGAGGGAAAGGCAGAGGACATGTGACTTCCTCCATGGTGGTCTGACAGCTTAACTATGCTAGATATCTCTAAGTCAACTGGATTTGCATCCTGCCTCCACTTGCTCTGAAGAATTTGCTGTTGGAAGCCTATGACTCTGAGGAGTCTTGCAGCTGGCAGTCTGCCCACACTTCCGCTTTCCACAAAGGGTCATTTATGGTAGTTCCCAAATCTGCTATGTCAGGCACACTTGCTATTTTAATGGTGTAAGTTCACTAAGTATTACATATACACATGGTCCCAGACTTTTCGGTTCAACATATTTGACTTTTTCACTTTACAATGGCATGAAAGCCATATATGCATCTGGGAGAAACCATATTTTGAATTTCAAATTTGATCTGTTCTTGGGCTAGGTATGACACCCTCTCTCATGACATGGGCAGTGGCAGTGAGCCACAGCTCCCAGTCAGCCATGCAGTCGCATGAGAAAACAGCTGGTATTCCACAGTGTGTGGGGCTGCTAGCCTAGGGTGTTCAGTGGTTTAGATGGACTTAATGCATTTTTGACTTATGATGTTTTCAACTTACATTGGGATTATCAGGACACAATCCCACCAGAAGTTATGTAGGTTCTGTACCAATGAAATTAATGTGAAAAGAGACAGTTATTTTTATGAAGACTCAGTTGAATGGTTTGGAATGACTTAATTAATAAAGGAGAGTTGGCTAAGGCAATTCTTGACAAATTTGGGACAGGTGAGATAGCTGGAAAAATTAAGAACAAGTTTAATCTGGGAGAGGGCAATATTCAGGTGACTTCAAAGTGTCTGTAAATTCTCGATGGAATTTAATACCAGAACTGGATGTTTTATTATGGGTGTGGTTTATTTAAGAAAGCAACGCAAGTTCTTGTGGTTCACAGTAAAGAGAAGTCCTGGTTCTACTTCACACATGAAGGGAGTCACATGAACTCCCTTTGCGTATCTTATTCATATGAAGTACTCAAGGTATGTATACATTACTTTTGTTTGAGACAGGGTTTCACTATGTGTCCTAAGTTGGCCTTGAACTCACAATCCTCCTGCCTCAGTCTCCCAAGTGCTGGGGTATGAGCATGAATCACCACACTCAGCAGTGCATTTATCATTTTTAAAATGATGTTCAATTTACCAACTCTTTCAATGAACCAAGGAGCCACAGTTTTGCACTAATTCTGACAAAGGGCTGTCTGCTCTATTACAAGATACCTCCTTCAGCCTCTTTGACCACAGGCAATCTGTGAGATTGAAGGCAACCTCAGGAAGGAAGCCTGGCATGTTACTCCCTACCCACCTCTGGTCTCAATACCTGTAAGCAGTGCAGGCTAGTAGTGGCTACTGCTTCAGCAGAGTCCGGGTCAGATGGTATTTTCTATTGGCAAACTATAAAACTAAGAAACAGCTAGCCCAGATTTGGACTATGGGTGCTATACAGGCAGAATCATCCCAAGAAATTTCCAAGACACTTGTGTCAAAATGGGCCAGCCAAGAAGTGAAGTACTATGTAAGGAGCACAAAGCTGGTGCCACTCCTGATGATCACCAGGTCATGGTCACAGGCTGGCAGCTCACCTCCCTGTAGCTGAGGTCACACATCAGGGAGTCTGTTCACCACACTAGGGAGGAGGGGTGCAGGGGCTTGTCTGCACCACTACGGTGCCTTTGCCAGTGCTCCCTCTAATGTCTATATAACTCAAAAGACTAGAGACCACAATGGTCATTCCTAAAAGACGGCCTCTGGGGAAATTGTCTGAAGCTCAGATGTTGGTTTCTCTTGACTATTTAACTTTTTGCTGAAAAATCTTTGTCTCCTTGCCCTCCCACCTGGCATCCCAACCTTACCTGTGTTTCACTTGGATGAACCCAATCCTACCTCAAGCTCACCACATATCACCCTGACAAAAATGAAATATGTTAAAAAATGTTATAAAGGACACAGATTCCTGTACTATATGTGCAGTTAACATTAAAATACCTTGAAATAGCTGAACCTATTTCAGTGTACATAAAAACTGACCCTTTCCCAAACTTTCTGCCTTTGCTAAGACACCACTGTTTCACTGTCTCCTAAACTAGGGAATATAAGTCACTTACTCCTCTGTTTCCCTCGTACTTTCTAATTGCTTTTTAGAATAACACAATTTGAGCATTGGAAGTAGCCTCAGCAACCATCAAATACAGCCCCTTTTTATAGATGGGAAAACTAAAGGGCAGAGGAGTGAGGTGATTCTCCCAAGGGCTGCATAGTGATTGAGCTGGGATTGGAATTGAGGTCAAGTTCAGACTTTCCCCTATGACATTCACTCACTCACTTATTCATTCATTTACTCATCTTAAAATCTATGGAGCATCTCCTTTGGCCATGAACTGTATCCTGTGCTGAGAATCAGAGTGACAGCAGTGACTGTTCATGCCGAACTCATTGAATGTCAGGCACTGCTCTGGAGACTTTCCAAATGTCCATTTTATACAGTCCTCGTGATAACTCTATGAGGTGGGTTCTGTTATTACTCCCATTTTATAGATGAGGGGATGTTTTCAAGATATTCCTCATGTTGGAGGCCTACAATGGCTACTACCCCCCAAGTGCTGAGTCCACTCAGTTCTCTCTCCTTGACTACCAAGGCTTTATGACCTGTCCCTCCCAACCCATGCATCCTTCTCAATCATTCTCCATCCTCATGGAACTTCTGAGGACTCAAGCCAAATTCTTCTGCCATCATGCCGCGTCTCCTAGCCTGGAATGCTGGGCTGGCAAGACTGTGATCTGGTCAAATGTGTGACACAGAAATGGACAGAAATAAGTTACCAGTAAATGTTGAATGAATGTTCATTTCTGAATCTTGAGCAAGCAAATCATACCTACTGTGATTTCTCAGCTTCAATTTCACCTCCTTCCTGGTGAGAGGACCTTCACAGTAGTAATGATATTATATCCTGCAGTAGTAATAATACCAGCCACCACTGCCATGGTAGTGACAACACCATGCCACTCTTAACTCCTCACTATGTGTCACCCACTGAACCTTAAGTGCATTTCATTTGATCCCAAGAAAGCAACACTAGAAGACAAGAAATATTATAAATCTTGGAGGTACAGAGAGGTTAGGTAACTTGCCATGATCACATAGCTAGTGGAGCTAGTTGATCCTAGGGCTCAACTGTGCTCTTGGAAAACGGATTTTCTGACTAAAGTACCTCAGAACTATTGTGAGTATTTTTGTATCCTGCACTTTGATTCTCTTTCATACAATGAGATACAGAAATTCAAAATAATTTTGCTTTAACAAGGGCATGAAACCAGCTGTCATTTCTATCCTTGTTCATGCTGTCCACTAAGATTCTGAAAAGAAGAAAATGTGGAGAGAAAGGAAAATGATATCCTGGTGTATAGGTTTGAGATGGTGTAAATATTTTTACTCTTACTTGGGCCAGGTCTCTGGTCTTGCCTCCTCCCACCCTCTGTACTGCCTAACACATCGGATTTCACCTTCACAAGGGCGCAGACTGTACCGTGGAACTGAGCTGTAATTAGTCAAATGATGACTTGGGCCACCTTGGTGGTGCTTGGCCAAATGTGCTCCCACTCTGAGCCCAAAGCCTTGTAGGGCAGCTTGTCATTTTGGGAGTGAGTAGGGGCATGGCCCTTTAAGGGGCCAGAGCAGGTGGCCTACTCTGACAGCTAAGCCAAGATTCTGAGGGCCCTGCTCCTCACAGGAGCCTAGTCCCCAGTTCCACATGAGCGAATGAGTCTTACTAGGTAATGCCTCATTTGCCTTCAATCTCACGACTGTGCCTAGAGGCTGGTCTCCATCCCTCAATAAGCTTCAGAACTATGGCTTATCCCATGTGTCTCCAGGACAGGCCCCTGGAGCCCCATTCCCTGCAGTCTTCCTATTGCCATCAATCCTCCCTTGGGGGAGAAGCTGCAGGGCTCAGAGTGTCTGGGGCCCCATGGGGGCTATGGACTAGACAGCCACCACAGGCTGAAAGGATGTCATGCAAAGGGGAAGGTGCTGCTGTGGCCTTCTGGCATGACATAACAAGTGACCAGGAAAGGATACCAGTGATGGAGCCACTCAGATATGAGTTCAAATTCTACTGTTTACAATGAGTGTCTGTCCATCCCATTCAGGAAAAAACCAGAATCATCGTTAAATATTTACTGAGCACCAACTAAGCCTCAGGCATGTGCTATACATGGGGGGCACGAGAATGCCCAGGTAGACCAGACCCTGCTCTCTTGGGGTTACAGGAAGGAATTCACCTGGGAATTTAGACAAATTTGATTGATGTGTCTTTCTGGGCCTTAAACACAGGGAAAAATATAATTTCTCTGGAGAACTGGCACATAGAAGCATCAGTCTCCACTGAGAGTACGTGGTAGAGGTCTACGAGGTCCCTGTCTGGACAGAGCTAACTCCTTACTTTTCCAGCACCCAATTTTACCCACTTTTTATCTCCCTAGTCCAAGGTGACATCTGTATCCATTTCTGGTTTGTCTCACTTTCCCCCTAACTTCCAACTATCAAAAGCACCAATGGGTTCTTAATAAGTTTTAACAAGCACATGAGAACAGAAAGGGCCAGGGAAAGATGGTTCCTTGATCCAGCCCTCTCTGAACACCTGCCTCTGGAAGGAGCAACCAAAAGTCCCTGTCACATGACATTGCCTTGGGGTTCGTAGTTCTTCAGGCCCCACAGAATGAACACAACGACCACCCTTGATAAAAAACTTTTCTTCCCTTTGCCCTTCTCTGCCAAGGACTGCATCCTTCAGAGTGCTCTGTCTGCCTTCGTCATGTGGAACAGGAAGGTTATTACATGTCAGTGACATCAGAAAGGGCTAATCGGAGTAGACCCACACCCCACCACAGTCACTCAGACACCAAGCTTTTGTCTCTGGCACTCAGGAGTAACAGGAGGTGTGGCCTGTGACTCCAGTTCTCACCATAGTCAGTGTTTTCAGGTTCCCAGCAGTTTGAAGGCCAGAAGTAAGGAGCCTGTGAAAGAGCACAGGGGTCAGGACCTGGGGGCACTCACTCTAGCCTCCCCTGCACCCCATGAGACCCTGCCTCTCTCTTCATCTCCTTCTGGCTGACTCCATACCCAGCTCTTTCCTGTTGTTTAATGAAGTTGAGGCCAGTCAATGTTTTAATCTAGGTGTTGAGCATGAAATCCAAGGCAAGTTAAAGAAATGCAAAAGGGGAACAGGTACCAGAGAAAAGGTTAGATCAAAAAGAATTAACCTAGAAGGTAACACCCACGCACAGGAAATCAATGTGAGTCAATGCCCTGTATAGCTATCCTTATCTCAACCAGCAAAAACCCTTGTCCCTTCCTGTTATTGCTTATACTCTCTCTACAACAAAATTAGAAATAAGGGCAAAATAGTTTCTGCTGGGTATTGAGGGGGGGGAGAGGGAGGGGGCGGAGTGGGTGGTAAGGGAGGGGGTGGGGGCAGGGGGGGAGAAATGAACCAAGCCTTGTATGCACATATGAATAATAAAAGAAAAATGAAAAAAAAAAGAGAAATTTAATTTATGGGGAAAACATTTCTTATCCTGAAACAAGAGAAATCTATAGATTTCAGGTTGGCACAGTGTCTAGGTACACATAGCCTCAGCTCCCTTTTCCCCTTTAACCTGTCTGAAGAACTCTGCTCCCAAACCCGTTGGTTTAGATCTTGACACAACTCCTTCCCATTTCCCCACCCCCAGTTCCCTCTAGGGCAGGATGTGGGAGAAGGGGTGAAAATGGGAGGGGAGGATGAATATGTAGAAAATAGAAGCACTTAAGAATTATGTGTAGGAAGGTCAAGGGTGGTGGCACGATCAAGTTCACCTGCCTCCCAGAGTTACTAAATCCCACATCTCTGAGCTCCTAGTTTTCTCATCTGTAAAATGGCAATATTTATGCCTCCCAAAATTTGTTCTTCAAAATAAATGAAGAAATGTGTGAAAGTGCTATGGTCTGAATATTTGTATCCCCTCCCGGGTTTATATATCAAAATTCTAATCTGGGAGGTGAGGATGTTAGGAGATGGGGCCTTTAGGAGGTGATTAGGTCATAAGTATAGAGCCCTCATGAGTGGGATTAGTGCCTTTATAAGAGGCCTGAAAGAGATCCTTGTCCCTTCCACCATTTGAGGACATGGCTAGAAGGTGAGAGACAGAGTGGGCCCTTACCAGACACCAAACCTCTGGTGCCTTGGCCTTCCCAACCTCCAGAACTGTGAAAGACAAATTTCTGGTGCGTAAAGCTACACAGTTTAAGGTATTCTGTGTTAGCATCCCTAAAGGGCTCAGACAGTACCTCAGTTGTAGGCTCCCTTTGAGGGTCCTTTGCTATTAGCTAAGTGGGTCAACCAGTGAACGGCCCAGATCAATGTTTTCTTGAGTTTCCTAGTGTTGGTGAAGGGAGAGCTTTGCTCCCTTGTGTACACCTTAGTTATTCTAGGTGCATCTCAAGTGAGAAAAAATGATGATAAGCAGAAAAGGTCCTTCAGAAGGAGGAGCCAGCACCTACCTGGAAACGATAAAAGGTGCCATCATCCTTCATGGTGAGAACATGATCTGAGATCGGAAAGATGTAGCCCTGGGCGGCTATAAGGCTTCCCAAGTGTATTGCTTCAACTGCAGGGACAGAGAGAATCAGGAAGTAGATTATTTCACTGAAACATATAATGGGAAAGCGGAGAGGCAACCTGAAGCCAAGTGTCACTACTACCCCCAGGTGACTATGCTGATGATTGCACTTGCTGCTGGCAGGGGTTGGAGGGGAGGTGCAGAGCTGGAAAGGCCATCCTGTGTCTGGGCTCCTCTGAGAACCTGACAGTGCTTCACCTCCCACCCCCAGACATTCCAGAAGAAAGCCAGGTCTAGCTACATGGTTAGGAGCCGGGGCTTTGGCATAGATAAACTTGTATTTAATGGAGTGAGATATTTCACATAAAGCACTTAAGCAGTGTCTGGTACAGAGCAAATACTCAGTAAATGCTGGCAGCCTGATTCATGGTTTTAGTTTCATCCTCTGAAATCATGAGTGTGCAGCCTTGCTGTCTGGAAAGACCTTGGACTCACATTGCATCCCCAATGTGACAGTCCCCTCAGCAAGGAGAAGCGTGTTTCCCCTCCTCTTACTGACAAAGAGCAAAACTTCACTTTCTGAGAAAATTGGAAGGACACTGGGGTGGGCAGTGACATTCCTATAACCAGCCTGTCACTTTGTTACCTTAGCACCAGCCGTGAATACATTCGTGCTTCTCCTAAGCAGAGCTAAGAAGAAAACAAACCTAAGCGCTCCTACCATGCATAAAAAACTTCTGCAAATCTTTTATTAATTAGAAACTAATTTTGGAACATGGAAATTGACAGCCTCAGAGGGTCTCTAACGATCACTAATTTCATAAGCTCTGACTTTTTGAAAGTACTTGGTTTGGCCCTCCCTTGCCACCTTTTCAGGAGGTTGAACAGAATCCAAATGTTTTGGTTACTCCTCTTTGGAAGAAGTGTACATTGCACAGTGGAAAGGGAATGAGAAGAGTTTTATTTCACCTGTTTAGTGAGGACAAGTTTTGCTTTTTAATTTCTAGACAGTGGTCCCTTCGAGTCCCTGGAGGATGGGCTCCAGGACCCCCGGGGATGTCAAAATCTGCAGATGCTCAAGTCCTTATATACAATGGCATAGTAGCTCCTTATAATCCAAGCATATCCTTCTGTGAAATGCTATGCAAATAGTTGTGATACTGTGTTTTTAGGGAATAATGACAAGAAAAAGGTCTGCCTATGTTCAGTATAGGTGCATGTTTTGCCTGAATACTCGTAATGCAAGGTTAGTTGAATCCATGCACAGATACGGAACGCTGATGGTATGCTTTAAGAGCCACACGTCTGGTGAGGTTATAGCTCAATGGTAGAGAGCTTGCCTAGTCTGCCAAGGGTTTGATTCTCAGCACCACAAAATAAGTAAATAAACATGGTTTGTTTATTTATATAATAATATATGGTTATTATAAATAAATAACCATAGTCCAAGAGCTGGGCATGGTGACACATCTCAGCAGTGGGAAGGCAGGAGGATTATGAGTTCAAGGCCAACCTGGGCAATATAGTGAGACCTTGTCTCAAAAAGCCAACCTTCCCCACCCCACCCCCCAAAAAAGAAAAATCACAAAAAGCAAAACAAAAACACCATCCCGTGTCCAGCAAGAAAGGAAGTTTCATTATTTGCAGCTGTTCCCTTCCCTTCCCAGGAGCGGAAGAGCAAATTCAGTGTGAAGGTGACTTTTGTGTCACCAATATGGAGTTAAAACTTATTCATTCTTTGAACAAAAATGTTTTTATTTAGAAATTTAGCATATGGAAAGAAAGAAAGGAGGGAGGGTGATGTTGGACGTACTTGGTTTCCTACGACCTTAGTTTGCCTCATCTGTACTCCTCTGGTTCCTGTGGGCAAATTGTTCTTAGCTTTTCCTCCTCAGCTACTTCTCAGAAGTCCAAACTGGTCCCCACACCTTGCTGTCCTCCCAAGGGCATCAGAGTCGAATAGTTCTTCATAGACATGACATTCCCAATTCCAGGTCTTTCACAGAAACTACTCATGCCAGGGCCAGGGGATTCTCACCTAAGACCAGCTGAGTAACAGTTCTTAGAATAATAATAATGTCACAAATACAATGATTATTTTAGAAGGGTGAAGAAACCAGTGCTCTTAGAGAAATGCCACCATGAGAAACAGTGCTCAAATAAATGTAACTACATGGGCAGGTGCTTATCTGGTCTGGGTGTCACAGGTAGACCATCGGAAGTCCAGGCTGCAAAAGGGAAACACATAAGGTAGTTGATTTGGGTTCTATCCCTTAAAAGGATTAGCATTTGTAGGGTAATCCCTGCAGACTAAGAACTTGACTAGAATTAAGGATTTTTGCTAATTGCCAGAATGGCTAAGATTGTAGAAAGGCCGGGATCACTTCCATGAATGACCTGCTTTTCTGGGACTCAAATTTCTGGCAAATATATTTGGTTGAACTGTAGGTTGTATTGTTTCACAGTTAACAGTAGATTAACAAGATCAGGTTAAAATACAAGAAGACCTGAGCTGATACACTGATCCCAGCAAGGTTCACAGCTAAAGATCCAACATCTAGGGTGGGCACTCGAAAAAATGCTCAGAAAGCAGGGGCGTTGAAGGCCATTTAATTTGGGGAAAATAATATTCCATCAATAATATCAGAGTTGATCCACATTAGTGGATTTTTATAAATGTAACCTTCAGGTACCAAGAATACCCAGCTAAGCCAAACAAAGGAACGAATGATAAACTCAGAAAAGAAGTAACTAACAGCACATGGAGCATCGCTCTACTCATCTAGAATTTTTGTTTTTCTGGATCCCCCTCCCCCCATTTTCTAATTATACTGTGAAAATAGATTCTCCTGCTTGTTTTCTAATGGGAGGACAGGTTTGAAAACTGTCTTATTGGCCAGGGTTTTGTTGATATTTTTCTGGTAGGGTTTGCCTAATTGAAATGCACAATTAGAGCTGAAGGAAGCATAATTCCTTCACTTCTTGCAGAAGCAGAAAACAGAGGAGTCTTAGCAAATAATTAAACACCTTAATTGTGGATCAGGCAATCTCATTTTAAGAGCTGGCTCTAGAAGGCTGTTCGGTGACAGAGCTACAACTTATCTTTAATTGCTGCTGCTAACGAGAATTCAACTTATTTCCCACACTATTGTATTGAGCTCGTTGACATTCTAAATGGTTGCTCATTTCCTCAAAAGGTGATTTAAATGTGAAGATAGATATTCAGGGGAGAAAATAAATTAATGTTATTTGTAAATAGTGATTCCATATCTTGGAGTTCACATTGTTAAGTTGGTAGGAGAGTCCAGTTCAGAAGTTGGTTATAGGATGTATACTGACAGTAGGGGAGATAAAGGTCAAGGGTAATGTACCTGGGTCCTCTATGGAAAGGTTCTTCATAAGCCACTGCACAATGTCAGTACCTGCAATGACAAAGACAAAGCAGTTTTAACCAAAGATTTCGTGGGTGCTTAGCCATGTGGCAGAAAAAAATGTGTTTGCCTAAAAAAATCCTAATTCCCTTCAGTCTATAGCCTGAGAGCTAGATTAAAATCCAGAATAGAAATTTTCTCTATTTTAACCAACCCTTTCCAGCCACTGGTAATTTCTGTAATTACTATATCATTCTCCCCCCAAAATTCACTTCTGATGACTCAGGTTATAGCTACATTGCTAGGGGGCTTGTGTAAGAGACTTCCTGGGAACACAGATTTCCCCAGGACAGGCAAGGTGAGGCTTTATCATGCCTGGACCCTAGACCATTTCCTGAGGAAGCAGGCCTCTTCAGCATCCTGCCTTTACTGACAGGCCTGATCAATACAGGTGACCTCATAGTGTCTTGCAAAACTCTGTCATCTCTGCTGGCATGGGCCCATCCTGAATCAATGTGCCCCTGTGTCTGTGGAAGAAACTTCTAAGTGTTCACCAAAACCTCTTTCCTCTACCCCTGGGTCTCTGCTTAATTACATTTCCAGGCTCCTCTGCAATTGGGTATAGACTGACTTTTGCCAATGGGATGTGGGTAGAAATGACCTATGCCATTTCCAGACCTGGATCATAAAAACTCCCGGGTGGCACTCCACATCTCCACACCCTTCCCTTCCCCATACGTTAGATGGAGAGGACTCTAGGGAGTCTGGGGGGAGGGCAGAGCTACAATATGGAGGAGCCATGGTTTCACCAGAAAAAAATTAATACTCATTTGGGGCTTTTACTTGATTAAGAAATAAATTTTGTGGGGTTGCTCTTCAGAAACTTGGTGTTTATCTATTTTGGCGTGTAGTATTATTTTAATTAAAACAAAATTGTAAGGGTCAAAAGGACTTTTAGGGCTTAACTACTCCAATCCTATTCAATACATGATTCCCATCATGACAGCTGAACAAGAGGCTTAGAAGAACCCCAGTACCTGGGAACTCACAAGTTTCCCATCAGCTAGCCTGTTCCAGATAAATGGTCCTTGATTCCTCTGAAGAGAAAGTTTATAACTCTCTCGCTTCTTCCCTTTGGTTTTAGTTTTGCCCTCTGGTGACAGAGAAGCAAACCCAAATCCTGACATAACCACTCTGGAAGAGCAGCCTTTCAGACACTTGGACAGAGTCCTTCTATAAACCATCGGCGTCCTCACTCCAGGTGAGATGGGCCTGGATCCTCAGCTATTTCCACACGTGGTATGGCCAAGAACTCCTCACCATTTTAGTCATGGTCCTCTGAATATGTCCCTCCTGGTTTATTTATTTCCCTTTGAAAACAAGGCACTTAGCACCCAGGTTCTAAGAGCAGCACAGTTCATATGGGAGAAGAGTCCGATTTTCTGGAAGGTTCTAATCCTTTGGTCAATCCACCTTTATCATCCAAAGATCTCACTTTATACCAGTGCAGACCATTAAAGGTAGTTGTGTTACTTCAGGTAAAATGTTGATGGAGAACAGCTGAAAGAAATGACATTCCCAGATATCTGCATCCTGCTGTGGATCAGAGGCCTTGGTATGAGATGAGGGGCTGTGTGTGTGCCAGCCACTTCTCTGGGATGGATTCCCAGAGAGGACTAGATATCCTGCAGAAGGCTTCAACAGTGCCCTTTCCCCAGAAATCAAATTTCCCAGGATTTGACCAGTAGCCAGAGTGGGACCAGCATAGGCCAGAGAGCTCACACATTTGGTTTCTGTTCAGCTATGTGGGAGGTGAAGTCACTGCACAGTGGGGCTGCCAGGGCCCCTTCCCTCTTTTCCTGGAATCCCCCCAGGTCCAGCCCCTACTGACAATGCCATTTCCCCTCATTTCAACCTCAAAAGCAGGACTTCTAAGCTTCTCCCTACCCTTGCTCCCGGATGGTGTTTTCTATGAGCCAAACCTTGGATCAAAAACACTCCCTCTCATTCACATTCTTTGGGAAAGCGAGAGTGTGTCCGTGCGCACGCGTGCGTGTGTGTTCATTTCCTCCAAATTACCAAGCTCAACATTTGTCCTAGGAAATGAAGAACAAAGCAGAAATCAAATAAGAACTGTAATCCCAAATTGGGGGTGGGGAGAGACGCTAACCTGTTTTTTTCCTCAAAAGAAAAATAGTTCTTTTCTGTGGGTTGCCTGGAAACTGTGAGGTTTCCAGCATCACTCCAGCCCTCTCCAGGGCCACAGGATTATCTTTCTGCTGAGCTTGCTCAGCTATTATTTATCACCTGCCAAGATTGATTACTCACCGTGGGACAATGACAGCCCTTCCTTTCCCCTGTTAATTACTGTCATCATTAATATCCATGTCATTAATTAGTATTCATTCACATTGAAACTCCTTCCTTGCTATCATATCCGCTCCCCCACCCCAATCCCAGCCCCCAGCACTACTGTCTGTGTCTCAACCCCCTTTTGGCCTTAGTCTGTGGCCTCCTTGTTCTCCCCAGCCCACCAGACCTCCTTGAGTTAAAGGATCACATTTAAGCACTTTTCTCATAAAGAAGAGAAAGTCACAAAAGCTCCCTTTCTTTCCCCCTAGCACTATGAGGACCACAGAGCTGGGTTTCTTGTCCCTAGAGTAGCTACCACAATAGTCACTCTATCATCTTGTATGATTGTATTCAGGCCCAGGTGAGGACTGAGCTACCCTGGGTCACTGCACTCAATCTGCAGTGGCAAATTGTCCCTTGCATGCTGTGGGCACTGTTTGGTGGATATAGGAAACACAAGGGACAAGGCTGAGGGACACGTGGATATGCTTGCTGTCATGGGTGTCTGTTACTTCAGGCTTCCTTGGACTGGTCAACTCCAGTCCTGTGGCAGGAAGTGAACCACTGTGTGCTCAGCCCCAGAAACAAGTGAGGAAGGTAAATCTGTCGTAATATTATGTCCTTTAAGAGACCTCCAATTACCACAATGTAGAATCAGAGAAGCAGAGTCTAGTGCTGGCAGGAAGAAGTTTCTTTTCCATTTTCTCTTTCCCAACCTACCAGCAACCCCAATCATTCTTTTGTTCCCACTCTACAAAGAATTTGAAGTGGATTGCTTTCTGTTCTTTCTAAAATTAATCGTTGCTTTTGGTTCCCACTGTTGGATTTGGCTCTTATCTTAGTCAAGCTACCTTGCTGAGGACTTAAAGACAAGATAACACCATAACAGCATAACAAATGCAGGAGAGTCACCCTGTATTTCCAAAGGCCACAAAAACACTTGTTTGAAAGTTGTCTATTTTGAGACTAATTTATTAACATGTATTTCAGGGATATCCATGAAATGATACCAGGGTACGCATAACAAATGCAGGAGAGCCACCCTGTATTTCCAAAGGCCACAAAAACACTTGTTTGAAAGTTGTCTATTTTGAGACTAATTTATTAACATGTATTTCAGGGATATCCATGAAATGATACCAGGGGGTACCCAAACCACCTGTCCATGCACACATGCTTTAGTAGTATAGTTAAGTATATGCTTATTAGATGCAGGTATGCGTTATGTTTCTATATGTGTTATATGTATGTATTTCAGTTATATCTTTTATATATAAACATGTTTATTGAATGTGTATTTGGGATCAATTTAAAAATCCTCTAACAGGGAATTTAATGAATTATGGCTCATTCATGCAATAAATATTTATTGAACACCTACCATGTTAAGTAAAAAAACATAAGAACAGTATATATTATAAACTGACACTTTTGCAACAGAAAATATTTATATTACTATAAATGGGCAAATGTATACAGAAGTGAAGAAGAAAAGCTTTGGAAGTACATTTAAATCGTTAGGTTATCTCGAGCAGAGGAGAGGCATCAAATTATGGAAATTTTCTATGTTTTACACATCTCTATTAGCTGATGTTCATAGAATATTCACATAATATATTGCACTGAGAAAATACTTTTTATTTGAAAGAGTAAGAGGAAAGAATTGGCCTGGGAGAGTCAACTGGAGACAACATGGGAACTTTGGCCTGCCTCTCCTACCCTCAGGCTCTGGGCATTTTCTGCTCTCCAGGGCAGAGAGGAATGAAGGCAGGATTCTCCAGGCTGGTTTTTTTCCCCCTAAGTAGTAAACAGGTGGGGCTCCATCACAAGGCTTGATCATGAGCTGCGAGTTGGTCTTGTTCTCTGGTCATCTGTGGCTCCTGTAGCCTCCCAGTGGACTTTCATAGACACTACGGGGCTGTTCAGCATGGTCCTGGACCAGGAGAGTGACAATCTGCAGCCCTTTCCTGAGTCTGTTTACTTATTTACCTGGGAAGACTAAGCCCCAGTGGTGGTCTGATAAATTCCCATACCGAGTTAGCTCTAGATCAATTCAAACTAGGTGTGAATTAGCACTGATATTCTATATTCAATTTTTCCCTAGATCAGAGGTGCTAATTTAATGATAATAATAATTACTACTGTTATTAGCAATTGAACCAAAATTTTATTGAGCACTTTCTATATTCCAGGCTTTGGAATAATCCTACTATAATAATCCCATGATGTAAATAGATTATTATTATCTCCATTGAGCAGATGAATAGAAAGATATTCTAAGTAGGGTAGTCTTCGCAATTTTAGACCTTTTATACCTGAGTTCTTAAAAAAAAAAACAAAACAATGAAAAAAATGTAATAATGAAGGCTGGGGATGTGGTTCAGTGGCAAGGTTCTTGCATAGCATGCACAAGGACCTGGATTTGATCCCTAGCCCCACAAAAAAACTACCAATGAGCTGAGAACGCTTAAGAGGAAAAGTTAAACTTGGCTTTGGAGAATGGCATAGTGAAGAGTTGGCAGTCAGAAAGAAACAGGTGGAAAACACAGTGTGATGGAAAGGTTAGTGTCACGGCCAGTAGTATTTGGTCAATGGGTTCTCCAGGCCCGACCTAGTGACGGCAAGAAGGCCCAGTACTTATAAACTTGGACAGACTTGAGTGCAACTCATAGTATGTCACTTATAACTGGAATCCTGGG